AAAGCGCGATCTCCTGCTGCAGGATTTCGATGTTGTCGATACTGTTTCGTTCCCATCGTAAGTGCATTCCACAGCTTATCCTTTCTACTCTTTTGAAAATTGACCAGGCATTTTTGAGCAATGTATAATTTGCCTTAATTATATGTATTTAGTCAAGGCATTTTATTTTAGGAGCGGGTCACAATCAACACCATCGCACAGTTACGGCGATTTCCGATTTCAAACTTATGCACCGATTGCATTTCGAACTTTTCGAGATCTTTTCCTTATCAAAACTGCTGATTTTTTGGTAAGATTCAAGGCTGCGTGTTTTAGCACTAAAAATAATAGGCTGTTAGAAGCGTTGTTTAAAAAAATATTTACTTTCGTAAAAAATTATTGATCAGCTCCTACCAAAAGAACTTCACTTTTAGGAATGATTTTTTACAGTTTTTTAAAACATCGAAGTTTTGAATGAGCTTTTTTATGGAGTTATAATACCAACCTGAGCTTGAAATTAATGTGACAAGAAAATCAAAATTTAATGGGATTCGAAGGCTGATTTCGAATGATTGATTTTGGGCATCATGCCAGTTTTTTAGCGATCTATATGCATGTTTCCACTGAAAGAACTGTCAAATGCTGGGGCGTCAGGCTCAATATTTTATGTCTCGCAAGATGATCAGTTTATTATCAAAACAGTGCAATCCAAAGAAGCAGAATTTTTGAAAAAGTTGCTTCCTGGTTACTACATGGTTAGTTTTGTGTTGCTTTGATAAATACCTAAGCTTTTCGATTTTATATGTCGATATTTATGTTGCATGTTTTAACCTGTGCTGTTTCGTTAAGATCGTTTCATTTTTCCTGTTATGTGGCAGCGAAAATGTTTAATTTTGGAATGCTTTCAGAATTTTAATCAAAACCCGCATACTCTGCTGCCAAAATTTTTCGGATTGTTTTGTTATCAGGTAGGCATTTTTTTTTCACAATTCGAATTGTTACTTATTTCTAATGATGTTGAGTTTTTCGGTTTGGAGCAGACAACTAGGATTACCACAATCTCGAAATGATAAAAAAAAAGAAAACGAAGCAGAGGTTACACGTGCGAAGATGTTGAGAGGCCATTGTGTCTCGTCACGGATATATGCTTAGGTACTTTGATGAGCTGATTTTTCATCACTGCGTTCCAAGCCTTTGATGCAGCTAGCAACTTCTTTGTTATTCTCTATTTTGCGTCTTTCTTATCCGTATGATTTTACATAGCCAGTCGAATGGACTTTCCTTTCACATTAGTAGCTTGCTTGTTTTCTTTTGAGGTCGCTTGGGTACCATTCAATAATCCGCTTTTTCCACCGATTGTCTTTGTCTCCACACGACTGGCCTAACTCTTTTTACTGACATATGTTGCTTTGATAATTTCGCTTACACTGAACCAAAACCAAAATATGAAAATGTACACCAAACGTGCGTCACTCACCGTGTTATTGGGAACTTTCTTCCATGAGTACGAGTGGTATTTCGTGGTTCACTTTCTTTACAACAGACCTGGTAATAGATGAAAGCTATCCATCGTATTCTTTTTTTTGCTTAAATTCTTGTTCATCTGTACTGTTTGTCTCAAGTAGGCATAGCTGTCCACATGTTCAGCACACTTGTTCTAGAGTCTTATTTCGGACTAGGTTCTGTTTGCGCCCGTCGTTCACTTGGTTTTCCTTCCGTAGATTTGCAGTTTTCCTTCACATTGATTGCAAGTTCATGTAATACACTTTGCAGCGCTTATGAGTTTTCCGTTGTGAGCACAGCGTCTTTTGTGAAAATGAGCGTTTGGAGTATCTCACAGTTGGTACAAAATGCTTCTACGCAGTTTTCCTTAGAACATTTTCAAGTTCGCTTATAAGGGCTTTTGGGGAGAAGGCGTCGTCTTGCTTCACACCTCTGCTGATTTTTGTTTCTGTATTCTCATAGGACCTGTGTGACTGAGTGTGAGTGTCTTTGGTGATTATGGTATACGCCGGGACGATTTAACAGAAAAATGATTGTAAAGATACTGCGTATAACTAGCAAATTTGAAGAGGATTTAAATGTTCACATT